TGATTTGAATGACACGAGAAGCGATCTTTCTGTGATCGATACATACAAAATCATTCTACAAGTAAAAAAAACTGTATTAATTTGCTGGTTGTGTGTTCCGAACAGTGGGTTGTGATCTGTACGAATCACAGATCAACTGTGATCAGTTGCATCCCTAGTTTTTATGTTTATCCAGCCATATTTTAGATGAAGAATTTAGATGTTGAGGATTTTAGTTTTTATCTAAATACTTCCAGTTTCATCTGCTTTAAGTTATTCTACTAAAACACTCTGCTGGATTGGTTGATGTTGCAACCTGGTATTTGTTACAATAACGTAAATGTATTATTGTAAACAAAAAGCATGCGGGTTGCTCTTCAAATAGTTTACATGCGTTTTTTTGCACAAGTCTCAGAGATTTATAGGAAATATCTTCTGCACTAGAATATAGGGTTGATAAAATTCTTAAAATGCTAAAATACCCATTGCAGCCAGTGTTGAGTTGACAACAACTGGTATGCAAACATTCATACAAACACACACATACACACTCCTGAAGCTTCAGACATTTGTGAGACTACAGCACTCAGCGACCGCTCTGCTATCTCAAGAGCTCTCCACATCCATCTATCTTGCTCTTAACAACTCTCAACTGCCTCAAACTTCATCTCTCTGCCTCTTCTTTCCTTCTCTTCATCCTCTCTCCCCCTCTTTTTCAATCTCCCGACAATGTCATTATTGGAGAAATTACACCTTCCACACAGGCCCAAACAGAGGCCTGCTCTTCAGTTGAATGCTTTGCTGCCAGCATGCTTGTGTGTGCTGTCAATTGAGCCTGTCTGAACTGTATCAACAGTGCTCAATCACATAATATTGGAAAAAAAAAACAGATTTAATTTTCACATACAAGCAACCAATCTACAGTGCTCAGCATATATGAGTACACCCCCCACAAATCTGGAGCTAATCTAACAAAATAATTCACAATAATGGTTCAAAAATTAGTAACCCGAATTTACATGTTCGTGAAAAATATTAAATACAATCAAAAATAGCAAAAATCAAGAGAAACAAATAATATATACAATGTTGTTGAAATGTTGTAGTTTGTAATATATTTTGCAATATTTTGCTTGATTTTAATTGTATTATCTTACAATTTCTAAATATGTTTGGTTAATAAAATATTATTTTAATAAATATATCTGTTTTGTTCAAATGCACCAATATATATTACCCAAATTCACTGAGGAATTGATAAAAATATTCATTTTTAAAATGGGGTGCACTCATATTTGCTGGCACTGTATGTACTAAATGTACAACAATATTCCACTATTATATATGCTATTACACACAGTAAACAAGTCAGCCTAATAATAAATCATTGGCTTCTGCTCTCTTCATTAATTTCAAAAACACAGATTTATTTATAACAAATACACTAAAAAAAACCTTACATATACCTTAGGAACGGTATAACAGAACGTTTTAGCGTTAATGAAACCTTGAATTTTCCAAACAGCAGTAAACCTTATCGTCCCATGCCTGTTCCCAAAAAAGTATAAGACAATCTGTTTAGTGGTTTGGGTGGTAAATGTGGTCCTCCTAAGTGGTACACTGACAGCATATTGAGAAAGAGAAGGAGATAGTTATATATGAATAGTAAATATACTGATTATTATTATTACTTATTTTTAATTTTTATCAATACATGTTGATTGTTAAATGTACAGTTTTTGTTCATTCATTTATTTTGTTTTCGGCTTAGTTGCTTTATAAATCAGGGGTCGCCACAGCAGAATGAACCGACAACTTATTCAGCATATGTTACGCAGCGGATGCCCTTCCAGCCGCAACCCAACACTGGGAAACATCCATACATACTCAATCACACTCATAATTTAGCTTATTCAATTCACCTATACCATATGTCTTCGGACTGTGGGAATGTACAGTTTATTCTCATTTATTACTATTTTTTTTTGTATTTTTATTGTATTATTATACTATATCTTTTAATAGTATCATAATATTTACTGTATTTTCTATGTTTTTTAAATACACGTATGTTCTTTTTAATGTAAAGTTTATAAATGCTTTGGCAATACATTTGTCATGCCAATAAAGCAATTATTGAATTGAATTGAGAGAAAGAGAGAGACAGGGAGAAAGGGTCTGTAGTGATAGCTCTCTCTTGTCATCCCACTCCAAAATGTGGCCAATAGAATGTCAGGCATAATTTATACTCTGCAAGAAATTATTTATATATATAATATTAATATATAATATTTAATTTATAATTACTATCAATCTTCCCTTTAATATTTAGTAGCACACAAAGATCATTAGAATCAAGACCAATGTTATTAGTACAGTTGTTACCACTGATCATATTTTATTAACAGTCTATTATACATGATAGAGTGTCAGAATATTTGGCAGAACAAAGTTGCACATCTCAGTAGTTTTTTTTTCGAGGAATCGAGGAAAAAGGCTTCTAAGAAGCGCAAGATGCAGGCGATGAATACACTAATTGAGGCAGGCTGGTTGGCAGCCACCTGCAGGCTATGTGAGAGAGACAGTAATTAAGTCGAACATTTAATGATTCTGCTTAATAGGAGTGAGAGACGGAGCAATAAGGAGAGAAAAAAGAAAACAAGCAACAATTACACAAAACATCAGGAGGCAAAGGAGAGGAGAAAATGGCAGAGGTTCTAATTCAGCAAAAAATAAGTGAAGTAGGGATGTACATATCCTGTAAATTAACTTAATTTTCAAACTGGTTATAACACACAACAAACATGCTGTTTGACAAACTAATTTAGTATAAAATTATGTAATTATCACCATCCAGAGAACAAGATTAACACTAAGTTATCTTATCAGGGCCATAAGCTTCCAAAAATGTTTGCTTCTTTTGATGAAACACCCTGTATCTGAAATGTTTTAACCTGCAACTTTATTTTGTTAAACTTTTTACCGTATCTACAACAAATTGTGGAAAATCACTTCTCTTCTCTCTCCAGTGCTCAAAATGGCCTACAGCCCAATAAATGATCTAAGATATGTTTTGCTCGGCTCTTGTGGAGTTTGATCTATATTTCCCCCTCAGAGGTGACTGTTCCCTCTCATCTCACTCTCGAACGTGAGGCATTTTGCGAACGTCAACCACCTGAGTGTGAAAAACACCGCAGCGAGCCTTTGGTTCGAGGCTCCAGGCAAATATTGACATCTTTTCTGCTGCTTGTCTCTCTGCTCGTCAGTTCTGCGTTCTCTTTCTTCTTTTGTTTATAAAGGTTAAGAGTCTGAGCAACTGGTAATCCTGGGTAACAGAGAGCAGCGTTCTGCGTACTTTCATCTTCCTTAAACCCTCCAATAAAAATACCACAGCGCCTAAGTTCATTTGCACCTGTGCTTTGGAGGACGATCCTCTATTCTCCATCCCTTCTGCCAATGAAGGATTTGCATATGGCAAGACAAGAAGTGGACATGAAGGAGAGGAGAGAAAAAAGACACACATTTAAATGGAAATAGAGTCTGGAGGGAGACGAAGTGGCCTGGCAGTCAGTGAGAAGAGAAAGCATATTTGTGTACTGTTTCCCAAGCACCAGCTTTTCAGAAGCAGAGGAGGCGGGCATGTGTTAGTTTAAGGCGCACAAAGGGAGTTTTAATCCTTTCAGAGGGGTCGTAATGGCTACGGTGAGGCGTCTCCAGGAGGGAAAGCCTTTCCGAAAGAAGGCTTGCCATTCAGCACCCCTCTGAACCTCACAAATCAAACCTCTAAAGGCCTTCAAAGAGCAGAAATGTGGGAAATGTGTTTGGGGTCCCGAGGGAGTGAAGCAAGGGGGAAAAGGAGGAACAAGGGGCTTGTCGGCATCAATCAGTCGCTCTCTCTCACCTCCTCCCCGGGGTCAGATCTCTTTCCAGCCTCCCTCCATCGCACCCCACCCCACCCATCATGCTCTCCATCCTGGTAACGCACCATTACAGAGGAATGTGGATTCACAAGGCTGGGCTCCATTATGTTGGCCTGCCCGAGGTTTGTAAAATGGGGAGCTCAAATTCCAAAGGCTTTAAGAGCAAATTAGCGGTGTGCTGATGGGCTCCTGCTGTCTAAAGACACTGAGGTTTTAAAAGCAACTCAACTGACTCCACTCCCAATGCCTCAGATCCTTCGACTTCTTGCGTTCTTGCCGCAGACTCCACGCGGATGAACTTCCTACGCACATGGCGGGACGTTTACATGCACACAAAGAACAGACGGTGCGCACGTCGCAGCTCCTCACTGTATAAACACAAAGCGTGCTTTTTAAAATAGACACTGCAAACAATATCACACACGCCGAGTATCAAACCAGCAGGGTAGAATTGCTTCTTCCACAACCGTCTGTGCCGCAGATCCAGCACCTTTATTTAGCATTTCACAACTAATCAATTTCCATAACAGAAGCCAGACGCCGCTGCACATGGGACCCAGTGTGTGGCGTTTACACATGCTGCGCGCCTGAAATGGATTTTCTCATTCATCACTCAGCAGCACATTGGGATCTGTTTAACAGAGTGGCTCAGATGGATTTCTCTCAGCCCATACGCTGTGAGAAAGCACGGATACAACACACTGTGTCTGTCGATGGAATCGCAGCCAGTCTTGAGGAAATGCATTATTTCCCATGCCGCCCCGGAAAGCAAAACACATTAAACGTAATCTGAATGCTACGGTGGTAAATAAGATTGACTTATATAATAATAGAGACTCTGCACTGTTGGGTGAAGCATCAACAATCACATGCTGACTCAGTCAGACAACAACTTTAATATAAAAGAGTCTAGATGGAATTATCCACACATATTAGAATAATGAAATGCAATACATTTTAGGGGGAAATAACAGCAATAGAATAATAATAATCTCATTGGTAGCAATATTAAGCTGTCAGCAGTAATTTGCCAGTGCATGATTGATTTACACAAGTGACACACATTTAAGCAGTATAAAAAATAAAGAATGTCCACCATACCTTTAACTGCAGCTGTGCTGAAGAGTTTCTCTGAGCTGGCATCTGAGCCCTGAGAGAGAGCGAGAAAGAGAGAGTCAGTACATCTGCTTCACAACTAAGCAGGTGGGCTTCATCATCAAAGGTAGCGCAGCACTAATGAGCGCAGAAATTCAGTCGCTTCCCAGAGCGGCCACTGGATGGCACTGTGGCTCCATGCGCAAAACCACACGCTGCACTTGAGACAGGGTTGAACGCATTAACATTACTATGTTATTGTGCAAACATCCAGCGTTGCCATTTACACAGCATTTAGGTAATGAAAGCCTATTTAAGTGACAATGTGGTGTCAAAGGGGCATCGGCTAATTCAATTGGCTAAACAGCAACAAAGATAGAACCATTACAGTCCATCCATTAGCATCTAACCTGAATCTCCACTCAGTCATTCGACAGAAAATTACACACAACACCAGACAACATGTGCGCTTTTTCCTTAGAATGATTCATTAGCACAATAACACACAGAAGGACTTGTAATGGGACACTTTGTTTCTCTTTCGTTGAATTCATAAGAATATTCTCAGAAAACAATGAAGGCAATTATTCTGACAGGTTAAGCAACACAGCTCCAGGCAAATAAACGACACTGACAAGGTATGACAAGCGTCTCAAATATTCTCTCCTTTTAAACATTTCTTTCTTAGAAATAATAATGCACGGCTAAAAATACGAATAATATTGATAACGATACTAATAATGAAAAAAACATGAATTAAAACATGACGTCAAGAGATTTCCACATAGGCTAATGATGCGTTCGCGCGACCGCTTTATTCAAACCACAACCGAAAAACATCTGGCAACATTCACTGCAGAGATTTCAACTACAATTATCCACAACCAACGACACGAAAACAGCTCTCCAAATCCTCCAGTCATCGAGTAATCCAATGAAACTGCTTTTTATTCCCCTAAAACGTCGAATGACATTGTGGTCAGGGAAATACGAACTACGAAAAATCCATTTGTGAAGCGATATCATATGAAGGTGCGGTGTACCTTTTGATGTGTCGATATTGGCACGGAGGAAAATAAGTCAAGAAATCACTTTTAGAGGGTTTAGTAAATACGCCGTTTCACATTCTGCTTGTCAAACAATGTAATCCACAAAAACAGGCGGCGAATTTCTCTCGCTCCCTTTGAGAGAATGACAGCCATGCAAAATAAGAAGCCTTTTCCCAGGGAAGCAGTAGAAAAACATCCAAAGCTCAAAGCGAGAGAGGCTCTCGGACAAAGGCAGCCATGTGTCTGGTACCCAAGAGCGCAGAAAAGTGAAGAAATCCTGCAGTTCGCGCGAATTTGTCGTTTGAAATCCTCGCCAACCGTCGTTTAACGGACACCGTCGCCTATGCGCTTTTGTGTCAGGGGCGCGCTCAGTGACAACCCATCCGCGCGCGCCTCTCTCCCGTGCGCTCGTGCCGAGCAAGAAAATCCAACAAAGCGTACAGTATTTTCCTCCTTTAGGCAGAAAGGGTGGTGTAAAGCCGCACTAAAACCTCGTCCGCCGCTTCCTTTCCTCGAAAACGTCGCCGGTTTTACGCTCGTGTCCTGTCGCTGGCTCCCGTTCCTCGCGCAAGTGCTGCCTGTATCCACACAAACTCTCATTCAGCACAGCGCGACCGGGTCCTCCCACTTCCTGAATCTAACCTGACTTCATTCAGCTCCGACCCCCTGCCTCTCTCTGCCGCACACACACGGAGAGCGCTTCCTCCGCTCAGCTTCACCGGACAGACAGTGCGGGAGTGCGTGCGCGCGCGCGTGCGTGTGTGTGCGTGTAATGTTACGGCGCTCAGTTAGAGCTACTAGGAGCAGAGTCCTTAAAAGAGCGCAAACAGGAGAGAGAGAGAGAGAGAGAGAGAGAGAGAGAGAGAGAGAAAGAGAGAGAGAGAGAGAGAGAAACAGAGAGAGAGTCTAGATCGATATAAATGCAGCCTAAAATTATGATTTTAAAATAAAGGTTACTGTTTATTATTGTTTATCATTATTGTATTATTTTGTTTTCTTATTTGTTAGTTTTATAATTTATTATTATTTTTTATTACAACTATGTAATTGTTTTAATATGTTCTATTTAATGTAAACATGGTAAATGTTTGGCAATACATTTGTCATCCTAATAAAACAAATTTGAATTGAACTGTATTGAGAGAGAGGAAGTGTGTGTGTGTCTGCCTGTTTATGTGTGTGTGTTTGTGTGTAAGAGAGAAAGAGAGAGAGCAGGGAACATGGATAGAATGATATTCTTTCACTTTCTGGCCGGAGTGAGATGATGTCAGCTGCTAATGAATTTCCCAGTAGGGTGCAGCTACTGTGAAGGGGAGGGAGACAGAGACTCTGTTCATGAGCAGCACACACACACACACACACCTCACTGCTTCACTCAGCCACGGCCTTTTTCATTGGGTAACAGGGCTAGAATCACCCAAGCTGACCCGAACAGCAATATTTGCCCATCAAAGGTTGCAGGTTTGAGTCCCTGAAGGCTATGCATTGTAAGTGGTGCACTCTTCCACCCTCAATACCATAGTAGAGGTTAGCTTCTTGAACAAGGCACTGATTCCTGGGTGTGTGTTCAAGGGTGTGAGTTTATTCATTTTCATTTCGGCTTAGTCCCTTTATTAATCAGGGGTTGCTACAGCGGAATGAACTGCCAACTTATCCACCATATGTTTCATGCAGCGGATGCCCTTCCAGCTGCAACCTATCACTGGGAGGGTGTGAGTTGCTTTGGATAAAAGCACCTGCTAAATGTAAATTGTGATGATTTACATCAGATAACTATATCAATGATTTGGGGTCGTGCAAATTTAATATCAGCGATTTAGAAAGGAAGAATATACAGTACTGGGTTGCGAATGGAATGGCATCTGATGCGGAACATATGCCGGAATAGTTGGAAGTTCATTCCGCTGTGGTGACCTCTCAAATAGAGCCGAAGTAAAAAGGATAAATGAACAAATGAGAATAATTCAGCAACTGGGAGTTTTAACTATCTCCATCAACTATTTGTGTTTTAAAAGAGTGCGCTCTTGAAGAGTTGCCATGTACACTTATTATGAGTGTTATGCTTTTTATTTTACAGTTTTGGAGTCAATAAAGTAGGCAGGTGCATATAAAAAAAAATTGTTTTTCATTTGTAAGATAAAGTGTTTGTGTTTAAGGATATTACAAGCTTTTTTTTATCTAGCAAGTTCTGGCACTAATGAGTAAAGCTGGTGATTCCCTGTGATTTCCTGTTGTCACTACTTCACTACTTTTTCAGAAGTTAATTTGGTTGTTGATTGAAGTTTTCACAACTGCAAATTACTAATCTGTATATGTGTATAAAACAGAAGCTGAACCGACAAGTGAATTATGCCTCATTCACACTATCAGCGCCCTTGTAGCTGCCTGTCGGTCTGGGTGGCGACCTGCGGCAAACAAAGGTCTGTGTAGGTCTACAGCAGGGAGAATACAACTGGCCTCTGAGTGAGTAAAGTCTAGATAGGATACAGCTGTGGACAAACATCAATATAGCATCATATTTGTGAAACTGTACAACAATAATTCATATTTTTACAGTACTTTGACAGTTGGGCTTGGGGTAGACGTTAATAAAATATAATTTATTGGGTAATTTAATAAATAAGATAAATAATACTAGGTACAACTACTGTTTTTACATTACTGTGATGGTTGGGTTTAAGGCTGGGGCAGAGCAAGGCATTAATAAAATACAATTTATTGGGTAATTTAATAAATAATATCAAAAGCATAGAATTGGCATGGATGACGGGGATGTGTCCCCACTAATATCAACCAATTACTGAAATGTCCCTACCAATAACTGAATCGACTTCAAAATAAACTAATTCTCCGTCAACTCAACCTACACGTGCACCAAAGTTTGCTCTGAGTTCACCGTAATACTATTAACCAAGGCAGTCCAATTAATTAAAATTCAGTTTCGCTTTTGGCCTCTGTGATTATGAAAAACAATAATCCGGATAAAGCAGTTAAATTGCATCACACACCTCTCTAAATTTCTCTACATTCATACTTTTGCAGCATGGGATGGCATTGTTATTCATATTGTTAAGTGTTTATTTTATATTATTAAGTATTTAATTAATGTTTTAAAAGGCCGAAACATAATTTGTGCTGTTAAATTTGTGCGCTGATGTACAGTATGTTCCCTCCAATGTCAAGAGTGTATCTACTCCCTTGAATGACACAGAGAATACTTGGTACAACTACTGTTGATCAGTCAGAAAGTCAGTCAGTCGACAGCGGCCTCTGGTGGATTTACGAGAGAACAGCAGGCGCGAATGGCAAATTTGAGATGTCAAAAAGTGTACACAGAGGCCTCTGGTGGATTCGCGAAAACAAAAAATGCAAAATGTCGCTTCTGGGATGTATTTTGCTGTCTCCAAATATATATAGGGGTACGTAATCAGAATGAGCCTGGATTGGCTTTACCAGTGCTCCTATTGGCTGTTGCCCAAGAAAGTCGCTCTTCATTTGCATAAAGTTTGCATAAAGTCCATCTGTTGCTCGCATAGATGGAAGTCGCCGGAAGTCGCTCATTCTCCATTGAAATGGACAGTCGCTTGTCGCTTTGCCACTGCAAGGTGTTCATAGTGTGAATGAGGCTTTAAGCTGCAGTGTGCATGTCCATAATGTAGTGTTACACAAAAAAAAAAGTTCTTAAAAAGTCATTTAAACCTATCAGTATTCTGTTGGTGAATGTGTGAAAAACTTGAACCCAATGCAGAACCCCAGATTGTTTTAGAAATGACTGGATTTTGCCTGCAATGGTAAATGCAACCGTATTGAGAACTGCTCTGTGTATTTTTGGGGACTAACATGGCAGGATATTTAACAAAAAAGAATTAAAGACTAAACTAATCAACCACGTCTGTGGTGATTATATGCTAAGACGTTCCTAATTGTGTTTCCAAACCAAGGTGTAATATTAACCTCCTTCCCCCAGGGTTTGAGGAAAAGCCTGAAGATCTAATTCCACTAACCT